CTCCTGCTGCTTGTCCTCCGCCTCGAGCGTGATCTCCTGCAAGACTCTCCCGCTCTTGGACAGAGCCACCTTGAGCTGTTCCACCTGCACCTGAGAGGAGCTGAGAAGGGAGGGAGGAGAGGTGAGGAGGGGGAGGGAGAGGGGCGGAAGAGTGGATATGGGAGGGGAGGAGAGGGGAGGGGAGGGAAGGAGGGCAGACACTGCAAGGGAGGAGGAGGGAGAGCAGCCTGACCTTGAGTCGGCTGACTCCTTCTTGACCCGGTTCATCTGCAGGTCAAACTTCAGCCACGCCCAGCAGGAGGCGAGCTGGGGATCACCTCAGTCTCCTTCGAGTCCAGCAGAGCCACCAGCTGGTCGACCCTCTCTTGCTCGATCAAGCCCTCACCAGGCCCCTTGTCAACTTGCCCCCTGACTTGCACCTGAGCTGGGGGCGAGCTGACCTCGGCTACTGCCTCTGCAGCCTTGTCAGCTGCTGGCTGATTGCTCGGCGGCAGCTCCCGAGCTGGTTGCTGCTCCTGCTCCTTTCCAGCTGGCTTGTCAACTGTCACAAGGTTTCAGCTTCTCGCGGACATGTCAAACCAAGGGACTACAACCTTGTAGACGTCGCTCCTCCTGCTCCTGCTCCTGCTCCTGCTCCTGTTGCTGCTGCTGCTGCTGCTCCTGTTGCTGCTGCCGCTCATGCTGCTGCTCCTGATGCTCGTCCTGCTCCTGCTCCTGCTCCTGCTCCTGCTCCTGCTCCTGCTCCTGCTCCTGCTCCTGCTCATTGTTCTCCTGAATTCGTGCGGTCGCACAATTCTCCTGGGGCTCTTCAACTTTCGGCGAGTCGAAACCTCCTGACTGCTGCGCTTGTTGCGCTTCATCCTCCTCCCTCTCCTCCTGACGACCGCTGACAGCCTCCAAGTCCGAGCTCACCAGCGAGTCCTCTTGGCGAGTGGCTGACTGAGTCTGAACTTCTTCCATCAATCCCTCTGTCTCCTCCTCATTCCCTCCTCCCTCCCCTTCCCCCCCGTGCGCCTCCTGCTCCACCTCCACCTCAGTGTTGCCCCTTGGCACGACAGAAGTGTCCGAGTCATGTGGAGGGAAGGAGGACGTCAGCGGGCTTGTCGCAGGAGCTTCAATCTGCTTGCTATCCGTCGCTCCCGATGGAGCCCGATCCTGATCCTTCCCATCCAACAGGGGCACATCCTTCCAACCCCCGTCATCGACGGTCTCCACTGGGACTGCCCCCCTCCCCATGCTCATCGCTCCCCCACGTGTCGTTGACTTCGCCTCCTCCCCCGCAGGCACTGCTCCTTGCTTGACCGCGTCCTCGGAAGCCGAATCTCTTTGTTTCGGCGCATTCAACAGCTTGAAGAAATCCTCGTCGATGTCCATTCTAACCTTGTCAGCTTGGAGCCGCGTCGACCTGCCTCCTGCTGAGCTCCTTGCCTGCCTGGACACCTCAGAGCCATGATGCTCACCCTTCTCTCCTCCGTTCTCCTCCTTGTCCTCCCCTCCCTCCCTCCCCTTCTTGGGCCCAGTCTTGGCGTTGAGGAAGCCAAGGTCTCCAAGGAAATCATCAGGGATCGGAATCTTCGGCTGCCCTTTGGCTGCCGTTGTCACCACCTTATCCACCCACTTCTGTGACGTTCCTTTCAGCTTCTGCGCGTTCTCCTTCCCAAAGGCCGTGTCCACAAACGACCCCTCCTCCCTGCTTGAGGCAGCTGCAAAAGGTTTCTTCCTGTCAGTGGGGCAGGGGAGCGCAAGTGAGGGCACAGGCTTACCTAGCGCGGAGTCTGCCTGCGAGGTGTCGATGCCGAGACTCTTGTCCACGGCCTTTTCGAGCGCCTTCGCCCATGAACCGAGATTCATCCTCTATCTTCTGCCTCGCCAGGCTGGTTGACCAGGGGGCTGCCGGCGTCAAGCTCCAAGTATGACTCGAGAGGCGGGAAACAGTCCCGACTCTCCTCACACAGTGATGGAGGCAGCAAGAGTCCGCAAACAAACGGCCGCGGTTGCGGGTGGCTCAGAACTGGGCCCTTCCAGCTGGACCCTACGTGGCGGCCCAACCAGAGCACAGGGAGCAGGTGCGTCGATGTGTGCGGCGAAGTTGTCCTCTCCTCTTCCGGGCGTCTACACCCCCTTCTTCTACCCCTTATCTCCTCTCCTTGCGTCTCCTTTTCCTTGCGTCTCCTCTCCTCTTCTCACGCTCCCTCCTGGTGCCCCAACCACTTCACCTTGCAGCATGGCGCTTGGCCCCTCGTCCCCTCACCTTGCTAATTGAGTGACAAACCCTGGACAAACCTCAGATGGCCAGGCCCGGCCCCGGGGGCCCGGCCGCTTCCTCAAGTTCTCGCCGGGATGGAACTTAAGGCTTTTTTTCAACTGAGTCCCAGCGCCCCGGGCCCGGCGCGGCGGGGCCCGCCGGGCAGATCCGACAGTCATCGGGGGGGGGAGGGGGGGGTCAAAGTCACGGAACTCAGCCCGGGCCACGAACCGTGCCCGGCGTGAACTGTACCGTCCGGTAGTACGATCCGTCGGGCGACTCACTGGCAGGAGTCCCTGCCAGGCTTCAGTATCGCCGCCGTGACTCGAGACGGTGAGACTGAGACGCTCTGCAAGTCTCGCCGAGGTAGCTCACGCCGAGAGAGAAGCCGCAAAGGCCCCCCGGCCTGATCGAGGTTGGGGTGCGGAAGCCGCCACGTAGAGCTCGTGCGGTCACGTTGCTGTGCTGACACTGTGACGTGTGCGTTACCGCGGGGAGGACGCAGAGCCCCGGACTCGAAGCCAGGCAGATGGGAGGAGTGAGGGAACTGAGGGAGGAGTCGCAAGAGACGAAGAGACGGAGAGAGAGCTCAGCAGCTCATGGGCGAGCAGCAGATCATGCCGCCGTGGCGATGTCCCGGAATCATGAGACTTGACCATGAAGCCATGGGTGGTGCGGGCGCGTATGGGAGGCTGCGCCTGTCGCCTTGCTCACGGAGCAAGGCCTCATCCGGCCTTCAGTGCCCATGGCTGGTGAGGGCGAGCTCGAGCCTCTGCAGGACCAAGTCTGCTCCTCATCACCAGTAGACAGCGAGAGAAGCTGTCGCCTTCCACAGCATCTGCAAGCACAGCCACCGCTGGGAGAGTCTGCAAGGCACGGCTGGTCTTGCCCGTAGCGAGCACAAGGGGAGCCCCCCGCCCCCCGCCCATGGAGGCTCCCCTCGGCTACCAAGGGGGGGTCCACAACAGGTCCCTCAGGCGGTCTGCCCTCCCCTCCCCTTGCCTTGTGCGCCTCCCACGATCTCCCGGTGGAGTGAGGGTGCGGCTAGTCAGACAGCCCTCACATCGATACTAGACTACACCTTTGTGCGATCCATTTACTCATGTAGACCTCTACCGCCCGCCTCCCCGCCTCCTGCCTCCTCCTCGTCTACCCGGACCTCCTGCCGAGCCAAGCATGGTAGCAGCTCCCCGTCGACGCTGCCGCCGCAGAGGTGCTGGAGGCGCTGGATGTAGGCGATGGCGGCGCGGAGGCGGGCGAGCTGGAGGGTCTTGGAAGCAGAGAGCTCAGGGAAGACTGACGGAGGACGCGAGGAGGAGGACTCCGACAAAGAGCAGAGGTGAGGGCCGGGCTGCGAGAGACCTGGGAGAGGAGAGGACATGATGATGCACGAGCGAGGACGAGAGCAGCGAGGACGAGGGGATGGGAGCATTCATGTATCTCGGAGATGCTGTAGGATGGCTCCCGGACCGCACCTCTGACCAACATGTGAAAGCCTTCTCAACACGTGAGACCAGGAGGTGCGGCATGACTGGACGCAGAGCTCTCTGGATCCTGGGAACAGTCCTCAACAGGTGCGTCTTGAGCCCTGAGGTCGTCAGCAAATCTCAGATCCGTGACTCCTACGGGAGCATGCTCCGACATCACGATACCCCTCCCACACGGATCACGATACCCTTCAGCTCCGGAGACTTGCAGATCGGGGAAGAATACTCAAACCCTGGCCATACTGCTACAGGAATCTCGGAATCTTTCTAGTTCTCAATGGTTTGCTATGTTTGTTTTACGATTTCTTCCAGACTCAAGCCAGGGTTGAAATTGATCGTCATCATTCACTCTTCTCTCTCCTCTTCTCCTCTTCTCCTCTTCTCCTCTTCTCCTCTTCTCCTCTTCTCCTCTTCTCCTCTCTCCTCTTCTCCTCTCTCCTCCCCTCCTCTCTCCTCTTCTCTCTCCTCTTCTCCTCCTCTTCTCCTCTTCTCCTCTCTCCGCCGGGAGGCTCTCCCCACTCTGCTTCCTCTCTCCCCTCTCCTCTCCTCCTCTCTCCTCTCCTCCTTCCTCCCTCGACCGTCCACCTGCTGCTTCACCTGCTGAGGGGAGTGGAGAGACCGCGCCGAGAGACGAGTGTAAGGCCCGCAGCTGGGAAGTTGCTTTAGGAACGGTTACAACCGTTACGGTTACGTATGCCCGTACAGCCTTTGGGTTGTGTCCGTATGGTTCATCAGAATGTGGGGGAAAAGGTCCCTCTGTTTTAGGTGGGTGGGGGTAGACAGAGTACGGGTGGTCAAAGCTGATCTCCGAAAAAGCTGGGTAATGGGTACATCAGCACCTCCAAATGTTGGGAGGTCACGGGGTACGTCATGAATGAAATAGGGGTACTTTTTGTGAAGTTTTTCGGTTGGGTAGTGCAAAGAAGAAATGAGGGGTAGGATCGAAATCTTGCAAGGGGGTCATTGGAATCGAAGTGTTTCCTTCTATTTATGCGGTACGTGTGCAGAGGGGTGGGGTGATAGGGTGGGTTCAGGTAGTACAGTGTATGCAAACTATAGGGTAGGGTTATTTTTTCGAGTAAATGGGGGGTGATGAATTGAAATGATTCATCAAGTCCGGACCTTCTTAGGGTGGGGTAGTAATAGGGGGTGGGTACTTGTGCGAAGGGACTGATCTCCCCGTTTAAATCATTGTTGACCACCGGTAGTTGAGATATTTGGGAAAATGTAGGGGTAGTCAGTGGAATGTGGGTAGGGGTACCAATGACCTCTCGAAGCGTCGGGGGGAGGTTTTTAATAATAAAAGGGGGTACATCCATGATAACGGGGTGGTTCTGTGATCATTTTGCTGAAACGAAGAGGGTAGGGGTAGGGGGTAGGTCCAACAAGGGGCAATTGCTGCCCAAATATATAAAGGGAGTGCATGGGTAGGGTACAAACCTTGGACAAGTAGACAAGGGTGGACAAGTAGGGGACGGGCCCCTTAGGGTGGGGTAGTATACCCCATCAAGCTCTTTGTCGTCACGGAGAGTGGGGTAGGGTACCTCTGTAAACCGATGCAATGCAAAGGGAAAAGCTGGGGGTATACCTTGATGTGTCAAGGGGTGGTATAAAGAGGCAGTGGGTCTCTGGCAAGGGGTACTCCCTTCAGAGGGGTCATCCTCACCGAAGGATACTTAGAAAGGGGGTAGGGGTGATGAATCGGATCATTGTGGGAGTGGGAGGAATGAAAAGAAGTATAGGGGTGGGGGGTTGGGGGTGGAGCAAATTTCAGAGGGGTACTTGAAGGGAAAAGTATGGGTGGTGGTAGAGTAAGTACCTTCCTTGGAGTGATAGGGGGTAGCAGAGGGTAGTGTGTAGGTATCGTGGGGTGGGGCAGAAGGATTTTTAGAGGGTGGGGTAGTAGTGGAAAGCAATCGAAGGTCCTTGCTATGCTGCGAGCGGCGCTTACGATGGCGCTGGCGGCGAGCGCCGCGTCAGGAGCCATGGGCTTCCTGCCTACATCCCCTGTCTCCTCCTCTTTCTCTTCAGCTCACAGATCCTCCATCTCTCAGAGAGAGGCTCCTGGTGTCGTCGTCGGCAAAGAGGCTCCTCGTCCCTTGCGAAGTGCCAGACAAGGTGTTGCAGGGGCGTCCATGAAGGGTTACGAGATCGACATGACAGGAAAGGTGAGCTCGTAAGGATAGATTTTCGTGATGTTGATGAAATGTTTGAGATCTTGCGGTGCAATCAGAGGATTCCTGTGCCTTACGTACGATCGTAGGTTGCCTTCATCGCAGGCGTTGCGGACTCCACGGGGTATGGCTGGGCCATCGCGAAGCAGCTCGCGGAGGCAGGAGCTACCATCATTGTCGGAACTTGGCCTCCTGTGCTCTCACTGTTTGAGAGGGGCCTGAAGAAGGGATTCGGTGAAGATTCTAAGCTGAAGGACGGCTCAATGATGAAGGTGGAGAAAGTATATCCTCTTGACGGTGAGTGAGGCGAAGGTTGCTGTTGTCCTGGAGGATGACTTGGGCTTGCAGCCATGTTCTCCACTCCTGAAGAGATTCCAGAGGAGACGAAGAGCAACAAGCGATACGCTGGCATCACAGGCTACGACATCAGGTCCTGCGCCGAGGCGGTGGCGAAGGATTACGGCAAGATCGACATCCTCGTTCACTCCCTGGCCAACGGCCCTGAGGTGACGAAGCCGCTGCTGGAGACTTCCCGCGCGGGCTACTTGGCCGCCTCCTCCGCCTCCGCCTACTCCCTCGTGTCCATGACGAAGCACTTTGGGGAGATCATGAACCCCGGAGGGTCGATCCTGTCCTTGACCTTCATCGCCTCGGAGAGGGTGGTGCCCGGGTACGGTGGAGGCATGTCCTCAGCCAAGGCGCAGCTGGAGAGCGACACCAAGGTGCTCGCATGGGAGGCGGGCAGGAAGTGGGGCATTCGCGTCAACACCATCTCTGCTGGGCCCCTTGCCTCCAGGGCAGCTGTGGCTATCAAGAAGGGAGGGCCCGGAGAGCGCAACTTCATCGACTACTGCATCGACTACAACATCGCCAACACTCCCCTCCCCGATCCTCTCAACGCTGACGACGTCGGACGCGCTGCCCTTGCCCTGTGCTCAGAGCTCGGCGGCGCCATTACCGGCACCTGCCAGTACGTGGACAACGGAATGCATGCTATGGGCCTGGCCGTGGACTCCTCCTGCTTCGCTGAGTATCTTGACAAGCAGCAGGGAGAGCCTTGGGACAACTGGAAGCCTGAGGTCGGTTTCGAGCGCAACGGCCTTCCCTACGGGCCCAAGGCCAAGGCTGCCCCGGTGGAGGAGAAGGAGCCTGCACTCAAGTGAGGATTTGATCGTGCACTCACCCATAAGGAAGTGCAGCCTGTTGATAACTGTTGACCTGACAAGGCGATCTGAACATTCTGAGCATTGGCCGTGAGGGGAGTGTTGACATGGTATGCTCACGTTTTTTCAATGTTTGTTTATCGTTAGCGAATGAATAAATTGGATAATACACAGCAGGAGCCGTCCCTGCGTCTGGCCGATGAACCTCTCCTCTATCGCCTTCTCTTCAGCTACTATCTCCTTCCGTCCTTCCTGTCCTCCTCGCTTCATTCCTCGGCTGTTACAGGTAACGGATACCCGGAAACGATCGTGTGCGTGCCCGAGAATGTCATCCCGCCGCTCAGTCCTGAACCACAACCGTTACCTCCTCCTCCTCCTCCTCCTCCTCCTCCTCCCTCCGGACTACCTGCTGACAGCTCCTTCACCCACCAGAAGTCAGTCACGATGTGCCGCATCCGCTCCCTGCACGGCAAACTGTAACTCAGCACGCTCGCCCCCTTGCTGTCGACGTCACGCACATGGACGCTCTCAAAGTCTCCCAAATGGTGGCAGCTCCATCGGGCCTGCTCAACGGGCATCGTCATGCCGAGGGGCAGTCCTAAGGGAAGCTGACCTGCTCCCTGTCAGGTCCTTGGCGCAGACAGCTGCAGGAGGAGGTGGCTCGTTCAACAGGACCAGCCTCCTGTTCATCTCCTCCATGTCAGCCTTCCTCATTTCGATAAATTCGGCCAGCAGCTCCTCCTGGTTCCCCTGCGAGCCATCGGGGTAGCAGGACTGCGGAGGGATCACGATATGGCCCAGGCTCCAAGTGACGGGAGTGCGGGGAGTCCTAGGGAGGAACACCATACGGCAGATCATGCCTTCACTGATCTGCCCCTCGTCCTTGCCCAGCACGTATACCACGGGGATACAAGCCAGGAACCCTTCCTCGGGCTTCTCCCTGATCTGCATGATCTCGGAGAACTTGTCCTGGTTGTCCACCCCTACAAGGATCATCGCTGCGGCTCCAGCGCTCTGCACGTGCTTCAGCTTCTCTGCAATGGTGCATCCTCCTCGCTGCACGACGACGATCTTTCCCTGACACAGCTCTAGGTTCGTCAGAGGACGGTGTGCCCTGTAGGGCACCGCGAACTTGACCTTTCCGTCCATCGTGCGGATGTGCCCGAAGCTGTTCCCTTCATGCTCGGAGTCTACCTTCATGACCGCTGCTGCTGTCAACCTCCTCTCCTCCCCTATAACTTCGTTGGGCGCTTGTCCAACGACTCGGAAGCCCGCGGAGCAGAGAACATGTTTCGAATCTTGAGCCACAACCATCTCCCTCTTCCCCTCCCTCGTGGTCCTTACCCCCTCTTCCTTTAGAGCACCTCTACGAAAGGTTCCCCTTATCCTACTTCCATCCTCCTCTATGAAAGTTCCCGCTCCATGAAGGTCTCCTTGCTTGAATTGTCCCATATACGTACGATTGCTATCCTTCCAGTAAGCTCGACCAAACCCCGATGGCTCCCCGGCTTCAAAATTTCCTTCATACTGGCACAAAGACCCACCAATCCTTAGATCGTCTCGCCTCCAAGACTTCATGCTGACTGCCTTGTCCTCCCCCATCTCCTGTATCTCCTCAGAACGATGAGCAGGGAACATGTGTGCTTGCTCAGGCTCTCCGGCTTCGGAATGCGAGCAGCGGATAGCTGAAGCTACCGCAGTCTGAGATCTTTGACATGCCTCATCACTCCAGGATGCTTCTCCTCTCACTTCTCCTCCATCTGCTCCTCCCTCCCCTCCCTCCCCTCCCTCCCCTCCCTCCCCTCCCTCCCCTCCCTCCCCTCCGCGATTCCGCCTCCTCGCCATGCTGCACCTTGTCTTGCCTGTAGACATGGTATGGTACTACTGATTTCGGGGAGGGTAGGGGGGTAGGGGGTAGTCATTCGTCGTAGGGTGAAGAAAGGGGGGTGCAGACATGGGTGGGGTATGTGATACCCTGCGTAGAGGGTACTCTTGATGAAGGTCATACGGGGTCCATTTAGGGTAATATCTGTGGGTGGGGGTGTTCTGACGAGGGGTAGGTCTCGGGCTGGAGGTGGGTGTAGCGGCAGAACCTCGGAAGTTAACACGCGGGGTAACTTCTCAGTGCTCCTATAGCCCGGCTCCGGTACTAGAGCTCCGAGGCAGGCTCACTAGAGCTCCGAGGCAGGCTCACTAGATCTCCGAGGCTCGGGCCGCGCCTGGATTCAAGTTCAGCATTCAAGTCATGATGATTGCCTCTGACTGTGACCGTACATCACTCTCACGTAGTATGATCGTACGTGACGCCGTGACTCCCCCGGCCCGGTTTCAAGTTTCAAAGTTTGCTCACTGCGGCCTGCCACACCCGGGCCGCGGCCGCGTGCCACCGTCCCGGAGTCCGATCCGTGCCACGCACGGACGGCGGCGGTCCGGGTAGTCCGATCCCGCCCTGGACGGTCACTGGCACTGACCGTTGAGGCCGCGGCGTCCGTGAGGCTGCGCGGCCAGTGATCGGACACTGGCTCGGAACTTCGGAACGTCACGTCGGACTCGGAGGCTCTGTGAAACGGCAGTGAGGCAAGTTTCAGAGTCTCCCCATCCGACTCATTCGATCACCTCACAGCCATCGAGCGGCCCGGCGGCCCCCCGCCGCGTCCGACGGCGGGCCCATTCAGGCCCGTCGGAACTTGGCAACGGCGTACCGTGGCTGAGACCGGCCCGGCCCGGCGGGCGTGGCGGCCGCTGACTCGGCGGCCGGGCCGCCTGGCCCGCCCATCCGACTCTGAGAGTCATGGCATCACACACTGTCATGATGATGGCACTGCCATCGGTAATCCGATCGGGCCCGGGCCGGGCACTGAGGCGCGGCTACCGTACCGTACCGTACGGCGGCGGGCCGAGACTTGTAGGGGGCCACTCTCGGAAAGGGGAGAAAAACGATATGGGGGAGGGGTCCTTAGACAGTCGGGGCTTACATGATAGGGTGGTGTGTGTTTTATGCACGGGTGGGGGTGGGGAACGATTGGGGTAGGGGTAGTGTACACCATAACACCCACAAACCTTACGGAAACGTACCCCCCTCAATCACATCAAAATAACCCTACTCGGGAGCAGAAAAACATTTCTGTTCCCACCCCACTACCCCCATGTGTAGAGCACCCAGCGGTCGATGACCCCTCCCCTTCCGTCAAATTACCCCGAGGTCTGACTGAATTCACCCCCCCACCCCCCTTTTTATTTCAGTACCCGTTCGTCGTTGACTTCGTATTCCATGGTGCAGGGTAGCGAGACGTGGAGGCAGATGCGGCGATGGCGAGAAGGGGAGAGGAGGAAGCAGCAGCTTGAGGGACCAGACGGGAAAGGAAGGAAAAGAGAATGATGCGAGGATGTGAGGTGATGGAGACATGGTCTGAAAGTGCCAGGAGGACTGGGTAGGAGGCAAAGAGACGTAAGAAGCTAGCGGTAGCTAATGGAGGGGATTGAAGGGAGGGAGCAAGAATCCGGCAGGAGCATGCAACAGCAGGGAAGAGGATCTTGAAGAAGGATGTGCATTTGACATGGCATGCACGGGTATTGTAGTCCTCTGAAGCATGAGTTCATGGAAGTATTTCAAGTACGAGGAAATCGATGCTCTGAAGGAGTGGTCGCATCGCAGAGGGAGCAGGGGCGGGGAGAGAGGATGGGAGTCAGTGCGTGAGAGGAGGGGACAGAAGAAAATTGTGATGCGGGCGAGGTAGGGAGAGAGAGAAGGCGGGCGGACGGGAGGGAGAACGAGAAACGATTGAGTTCACCGCTACTGGATACAGCAACAAAAGCGATCTCGTTTGACAATTGGTGAGACAAGATGGCCGTAGGAAAGATGCAAGTTGTTGGTAGACACCAAGAACGAAGAAGGATTCAGATAACATCCATGGTGTGGTGACAAAACTGACATCAAACCTTTTGTGTATGCAGAGCGGTTAGTCTTGCAGGAAAAGCTGAGGACAGCATGAGAAACGGTATGCGCTGTACCAGCTCTCTGCTACAACGTGCGATGGCAAGGTGTAGTAGCGTCTGTCCGCACCCTCCTCGACGATCCTCTCTCCTCTCCTCCTCCCAGGATCCAAGTCAGAAGCTGTATAGCCGTCAAAGGCTAGCGGACCCTCTCAGCCCCCTTGCAATAAGAAAGTTCTCCTGCCCTCCTCCCCAGCGCAGCCTCGGAACGAGCAGCGTCCCATGCTCGCACTCGATTGAGGATGCTCAGCATGCGATGAAGATCAACGACCTTGAAACATGTGTCAAGATCCTGTCCGAGTGAGTCTATATCTCCCCTCCTCCCTCCTCCCTCCTCCCTCCTCCCTCCTCCCTCCTCCCTCCTCCCTCCTCCATTGTCCAACAGGCGCGCAGGCTGTCCTCCCAAGAGAAGTTTGCTTTGGACCCTCAAGCGCAGAGCATGCTTTGCACATCCTTGGTGAGAGCCGATGCCTCACTGTTCTCCCTGCTGATGAGAGAAGGGAAGATCTGGCTCGACAGGAGGGACAAGGCCGAACAAGCCATCGCCAACGCCGTGTCACGGGGAGTCTGGAAGCATGCGTACGTTCCTCTTCGCTACCCTCACCAGCCCTCACCTCCTCTTGTCAGGATGCAGAGGCCGCTCAAGTTCTTCCCCGAGCTCGAGTCTGCTCCCTTCCCCGACGCCTCCAAGTTTCCCGAGGTGCAGGAGGGGCTGCAGGTGATGCAGAGCATGGGTGAGCAGCTGCTGGAGGAGATGCAGACAGACGTCTTCCTCTGCAAGGCCCACACTGAGGCCGCCGAAGGCCTACAGGATCCGGGGGGAGGGCTGTGGACTTACACTAAAGTCAACACGACTGGTGGGTTGATAAGGAGAGGGTGAGGGAGGAGGAGGGGGAGAGAGGGGGAGCTGGAGAGAGAGGTGGAATTTCAGGGAAGGAGCAGGAGCGAGGGGAGGAGGCCGGGAAAGTGGTTTTTTAGTGGAGGAGGAGAAGAGGAGAGGAGGAGGACGGGGAATTGAACTTTGAGGGAAGGAGGAGGAGCAGGAGAGGAGGAGAGGAGGGAGGAGATTTTGTCCTGAGTTCATATCTACGGGCAGGTCTTTTTGAGGTGAACTTTCCTTCGGTTCGGAGATTCTTGCTGCGACTGCAAAAGCAGGTGAGAGGCAGATAGAATAAGTGGATCACTTAGGGAGGACGAGCTGAAAGCAATTGAGCAGAAAATGAGTGAGGGAGGGGATGGCGTCACACAAGGAATGTAGGGGCACGGGCAGGAGGACGAGGACGAGGACGAGAAGGAGGAGCTAACTTGTTGTTGCTAGACCAAGCTGAGGGTCGTTGGCGCGGGAGTCTCCACCATCTATCCAGGATGCAACATCCGCCCGCACTGCGGGCCGAGCAACCGATGCTGGGACGTCCATCTTGGGATTTCAGTTCCGGAGCCGACGAGCTGCTACCTCAACGTAGCGGGAGAGTCGCGGGGATGGAAGGAGGGAGAGCTGTTGCTCTTCGACGATTCCTACGAGCACAGCGTCGTGCACAGGAGAGTTTGGGAGGAGGGGAGTAGCATGAGGAGACGAGGTTGATGTTGGGTTGTGGAGGGGAGTAGCATGAGGAGACGAGGTTGATGTGGGGTTGTGGATCTTGTTGGGGACGGAGGAGGAGGAAAGAGAGAGGCGAAATGCTTCTGAGTTTAATCTTTTATCAACAGGGGGAAGCTGCCGAGAACGATTCTGGACGTCATCATCGTTCATCCTATGCTACAAGATCGCTCCTTCAGTCTTAGTGAGATATGAAGGAGAGGTTCATCGCTTCAGCTTGTCTTTGGATGCGGAGAAGAGGGGCCCCGCATGCTTCATCTGGTTCGCTAGGTTCTCTAGGATCGAGTCGTAGTGCTCCGCGTCGTTGACTGTCGAGCTGTTGCTCCTCAACGACGCGCTGGGAGATGTTCGAATGGTCTGGGTCGGCGACTTGGACCGGGCCGGCCTGGAATCTCCGGCAATCCGGTTCTTCTTCAGGGTCACCAGGGAGCCGAGCCTGAGGGTATCCAAGAAGCTCGGTTCAACCTCGAACTCAACCTGAGCCAACAGTCAGTCACCTCGACCGCAAGGACGCTTGTCAGTACCTCGTAACAGGTCTCTCCCTCCTCCGACTCCTCCCACAGAAAGCCCGACTGTGGGCAGCCGTAGCTGAACGATCCTTCAAAGTAGCTGCCGTCGCGCCACTCGACCTTGCCCTTGGCCTTCTCAGACGTCTCATCCTCCGTCCCTTCGAAGGACATGATCGCCGTGAAGAGCCCTCCCGACCAGTATCCTATGTACTGCTTCCCAGTCCTCAGCCTCCACATGCCCCTGCCGCTCCACAACCCATCCTTCCATCCACCGATGTACAACCTGCCGTTGGAGTAGAGAACCTCGTGGTTTCCTTCAAGCTCCTCGATTGCAAGTCCATGGCAGGTACACTTCTCATACTTGCTGTCCCGGTTCCTGACCTGCGACCAGCGGACGTCCTTCTGCTGGCGAGAGGCCCGCTCCTCGGAGTCGTGCTCCCCCGCCTCCTCATCAAAGGGAGAGTCCGCATCTTCGCTACCCGTGTGCGGCTCATCCACCTCTTCCTCGTTGTCGATGAACTTGTGCTTCACTGGCTGCAGCCCTGGGCTGAGGAGGGGAAGCTTGCCCTCGAACTCAACGGACAGCAGCCTGCCTGTGGATGTTGTGATGATCCCTTTCTGTGGGCAGCCTTCGACAAAGTTCCCTTCGAACTGATGTCCCTCTGGCCATGTGAACGCCCCGTCACCGTGCATGTTGCCATGGCTCCAGTATCCCCTGTAGATCCCGTAATCCTTGCTGACCCACTTGCCATTCCCGTGTCGTTGTCCTTTCTCCCATTCTCCAGCGTAGTATGTACAGTCGTTAGTCTGTTCCACACGAGGGTCAGAGACTTCAGATCGCAAATGGTCCACAATCAAGCAATTGCAGCAAGAAATAACGTCCGGGTCAAGAGAGAATCAAGGCAGTAAGGTTCACACAAAGAGAGACAGCACGCATCGGCACAACGCAACATCAATCACCACAATCCAACACTATTAGAAACACCTGCACAGTGTGAAAGCCGTCCAACATACCACGCGACAATCCATGACAGTCACATCGTGCATCAGTATCTTCAGGCGGGCCATGTGGAATTGCAACGAGACTTCTATCGTCTTGGTTCCTGAGGGGCTGCATGGAGATCGGGGCCAGGTTCGGGTCTAGCATGTTCTGCTGCCCATTGAACTGTACTTGCAGCACAGAACCAGCGGTGTTGATAAGAGTGCCAAACAATGGGCATCCCTTGTTGAACTCGCCTTGGAACTTTTCACCGCTCGGAAATGTGAATTTGCCCTTCCCATGGTACAGTTGCTCGGACCACTCGCCCGCATACGACCCTCGGGACGGGCTGAACCACTCGCCGTAGCCAGTCAGCTTGCCACCTTGCCAGTCTCCTTCGAACGATTCGTCCCGTTCCTCCACGCGATGCCACCCTGACAGCTGCATGACTGGCATCCCATGACATGTGCAAACTGGTCCTCTCATGGCATTTGCCGATTGATTTGATCCTGGAGAAGGAGTGCTACTTGCAGAGATAGGCTGCATGGAGATCGGGGCCAGGCTCGGGTCTAGCATGCTCTGCTTGCCGTTGAACTGTACCTGAATCCGGGCCCCTCCTGCGCTGTTGAGGATGCCGATGGTGGGGCAGCCTCGCACGAACTCTCCCTCATAGCACTCGCCCGAGGCGAACCGAAACTTGCCCTTCCCATGGTACAGGTGCTCGGACCACTCGCCCGCATACGACCCCCGGGACGGGCTGAACCACTCGCCGTAGCCAGTCAGCTTGCCACCTTGCCAGTCTCCTTCGAACGATTCGTCCCGCTCCTCCACGCGATGCCACCCTGACAGCTGCATGACTGGCATCCCATGACATGTGCAAACTGATCCTTCTGATTTTGGAGCCTTTGGTGCTGGAGTGTTGTTCAAGCTTGAATTCGCACTTGAATTGGTGACAGGCTGCATGGAGATCGGGGCCAGGCTCGGGTCTAGCATGCTCTGCTTGCCGTTGAACTGTACCTGAATCCGGGCCCCTCCTGCGCTGTTGAGGATGCCGATGGTGGGGCAGCCTCGCACGAACTCTCCCTCATAGCACTCGCCCGAGGCGAACCGAAACTTGCCCTTCCCATGGTACAGGTGCTCGGACCACTCGCCCGCATACGACCCCCGGGACGGGCTGAACCACTCACCGTAGCCAGTCAGCTTGCCACCTTGCCAGTCTCCTTCGTACGATTCGTCCCTGTCATCTTCTACGCGATGCCATCCAGACAGCATTTGAATAGGAATACCATGACATTTGCATTTGCTAGATTTCATGTCAGGTGGCAAATCGCTGCTCAACTTTCCACCTCCAAGAGCAGGAACCGGGAATCCAGATTCAAACCTTGGTTTGGGTGACAAGGAATCTACTCTGTCGATCCTTTCCTCAACATTCTTGGACAAAATTTCCATGACTCTTGCATTTCCTGCAAGATCCTCATTTACAACACTCACAAAGTCCATGACTGACAGTTCCCAGCACTTGCAATTACCCGAGGCGACAACATCGCATACTCGAAGCTGATCTTTTCCGCCCGAAGGTTTGCCGTTCTTGTCCTTGATAAACTTCTTACATGTAGCAAGGAAAGCGATTTCTCCAAAGAGATCACCGCTGCACAATGTTTGTGCGATGTCATTTTCGACCATCGCCTTGACAGCCCCTTCGTCGATGAAGTACATTGTTGTTCCGACAGAGCCTTTATGAATGATCACTTCACCATCTTTGAAGGTTCTCAGGCGCATCTTTGAGAAACATGCAACTCGACTATGATCGCTCATGCTGTCAAACAACTCGTAACTTGCGGAGCTATGCGCATATTTTCTCAGAGCCTTTGGTCGCTCTTGTTCATCGTCGCTGGAATGTCCGCCATCATCATCAAAGTCTGAGTGACGCAAGTCTACTTGAGCGTTCTCAAGGTCTGCACTCGTGCTGCTTCTTGCATCATCTTCGCCTTCATCGCTCATGACCGTCTTGCGGCGAGATGTATGTTCGCTTCTCAACTGTGTGATTTCTTGGAGGAAACTATTCGTAGCAGCTTTCGTGTCAGATGTACTCATCCTCCTCCTCCTAGTCACAATCTTTGAATCCCTTGGAGGGGCAGAAGGATCGAATGAAGTTTGTCTTGTCAGACTTCTTGTGTTCGTTGCTCTGATCTCTGGCTTCATATACTCGTAAGAAAGAGGCTGCAAGTTCGGATCGAAGACAGAGGTTATCCCGTCGTAGGTGACATTGTACTTGTCTCCTTCTACATCGATAAAAATTCCTTTTTGAGGACAATCTGTATCAAAGTTTCCGTCAAACTCTGACCCATCCGGCCACGAAAATCTCCCGGCTCCATAGAAATATCCATCCTTGAAACTACCGAGGTACTGGCTGCCATCAGGCGAGCTCCATTCGCCGTTGCCATTCAGGCATCCTGCGGGGTCAAAGTTTCCACTGATCATGGTGCCATCCCCTGAAGCGCAAGAGACGAAGTGACTTCCCTTCAACTTTGCAACTGGGACGCCATGGCAGGTGCAGACCGACCCCTTCTTCAAGGCGGCCACGCGCGATGGCACCGCCCCCATCCTGCGTCAAGAGCGGCTAAGGTGCAAGAACAACTTCCTCAAACAATCCCTGCAAAACCGAGTCATTGCCTTTGCAGTCATCGCAGTCACGGGCCGCCAGTGCCATGTACCCACATGCATTGAACCGCTCTACAACATTGCATTTGCAAATATGGCTCCCTCGTTTCTTTCAGCTACAAACATCTCACTGACAGAGCTCACTCGTCACATCTCAACAACTAGATCAAGTGACAAATCAGTACATTCTTAGCAAAATGCTTCTTTTCAGGACATCTTCAGAATGTCTTCCATCAGACTGGAGACCAACAACAGGACTTTCCTCTTCGCTCCCTGCTCCCGCCATTCATCTGACACCTGTCGTTCTCCTGCCATTCCCTCCTGCCGCCATAACACGCGCGCCCCTTCCCTCCCATTCTTCCATTCCTCGGCATCCTCTCCCCCAAACTATTCCTCTCTTCTTCCTAAGACCCGGTCTTAGCTATCACCATAGGAATTTTCCAGTACCCTTGGTTGACATAGGCAGACCCTATGACCGTTTCTGATTGGGAGGGGTGTTTCAATCATTGGTTCTAGGAATCCTAACTTCCGCCTATGACGAGTGCTAGACAGGTCATAGGGGCAATATTACTTTGATATTTTAGTCTTAGGGACAAGTCATTGGTCTTAGGGTCGCTAGGGGTGTAGCAAAACTTAAAATTGATTATAGCTGCTCGGAGAAAGCATCAAAAACAGCTTACTTCAAGGAATCACTGACTAGATGAACTCGAGTGGTTTCGCTAAGGAACTCGATCTCGTTTAAATCTACATCGAAAGCTTCTTATTTCGATTACAAAGGTCGGAATGAGACTTACAGACAGCCCTGTTTGTAGGACAACCGCTGACGACATGGAAGGGTTCCGCTAGTTTCCCGAAGCAATCAAATGCTCTGTTCAAACTTGAAATGATTCTAGGCAATTTCGAGATACGCATATCTGAAGGAGACCACTTTTGGAGTACCCCTACTTCCGACCAGTTTTCAACCACCCTCGTTGTATCTCTTATCGCGCTCGAATGGTCTTGTGCTGTCAGCAGCTGACGGTCCGTGCGTTCGCCCTCATCAACCGTTTTGTAACCGTCTTTTTTCACCACCGCGTAACGGTCTGCTCACCTTTGTAACGGATACTGTCAAACGAGTCAAAAGCCGTTACAACTGACATTCTTTTCCCAACGGCGACCAACGGACTGCAGAAAAAAAAGATTGACATCGATGTCCACCCGTACTTTTGACGGGATTTTATAGGGGTGAATGGGGAGGGGGGTGGTAGCAGGAGCAGAGCAGTCAACATGAGCTCGTTGAAAGACATGACGGTCATGCACGACGCCGCGAGCTGGTGCCCTCCCTCCCTCCCTCCCTCCCTCCCTCCCTCCCTCCCTCCCTCCCTCCCTCCCTCCCTCCCGCTACGATCTCCTCCATCTACCTCCTCTCCTTTTCTCCACCCTCATCTTCTTCCTTCTCCCTTCTCTTCCCGTCTCTTCTCCCTCCTCTCTCCCTTCCTTCTCTCTTCTGTCCTTCTTGTTCCCTCCGCATCTCACCCGGGAAAGCTTTGTCGCTTTGATTCTTGGGTTGTCAATTTAAAGGGGTGGGGTATAAATTATACGGGTAGTCTTATATGACACCCGTACAAATTACTGTTGTACCAGGGCATAATTGAGGTGTA